CAGGCTCCATACACCAAACAGTTCCAACCCCCTGCACTCGAACTGGCAGGAATCACAGTAACATCGTGTTATTGTGAAATTAAACCACAGCTCTTAAAAGTGAAGGCACTGTCTGTTCACATTCCTAAGGAAAAATAAGGCTGTACTCCTAAAGAGAAAAGGCAGAAAGAAAAATACTTACAGAACCATCATAATTATGTAAGACATTTACAGTGACCAACCTTATCAGAATGATTTTAAGGTTGTGCTGACCTTCAGCAATTCTTCTCTTTTTACTTTCTCCTGGAATTTTTCTCAGGAGTAAAAAGATCCAATCATGTATGCAACAGCTGATTATCCCCGATCATCAGTTCTTCACTCCCCGAAGAATTCCCACCACAGCAGCTTTTCCACAGTCAGTTTGCATTTCCCCACCATGTTACAGATAAGCTGTGCCTTCATCTTGAGAAAAGCAATTTACTCTGGCATCAAGCACAGGCACAAGACTGAACAACGAAGTGTTGAGCAAAGGAAAGCCACTAGGCATGTTCTACATGATTATCACATTCCTCAGCAGCAGCCACCCATCTCCTTCCTTGCCCATGGGGATGGCAACCAGGGTTTTCCCCTTGGCTGAGCTCACCAAGAGCTGCTTTTTGCTGCTCAAGGAAACCTTGCTCAATTCTACACCTTGCAGAATCACTGACTTGGTGAGGTTGGAAGGGGCCTCTGCAGCTCATCCAGCACCCAGCTGAAACAAACTCCCAGAGAAGCCAAACAACTGGTTTGTGTCATGTCAGGCTCCAAAACCCCATCTTTTTAAACCAAGCTGACATAGGTGAAGATGGCAAATACAAAATACCTCGTCCTGTAGCTCACAACATCCCTGACCTGAGTTGGGTTTATTCATATTAATCCCACATGCTTTTAAGCATGTGCTAAACAAAGAGAACAAAATCATCCTAACCACTGAATGTTTTTGTTACAGTCTGCAAAATTACTTATGGCCATAATGGCCAAATGGTTATAATTAGGGTCAAATGCAGCAGTTCTGCCTGCACGGACTGTGTGTTATCTGCTGTGAATGTGACAAAATGCAAACTTCCATTTCCAGTGTAAACTGTTACAAAATGTACATTGTTGATTGTAATATGTAATTTAGCAGACTGGTAAGAAAAGGTGATCTGTGATCTCTACAAACCCACTGTGGCTGAAGTTTATTAAAGTGCTTCCAAGAGCAAGGACCAACACCTTCACAAGCCTTCAGTGTGACTGCCAGCATTGCTGAGCATGGACTAACCTGAAAAGTTAGTCTTAAAGCTTGTCAGTGCAATAGTTGCTCAAAGGCTAACCTGCTTTTGAAAATATCCAGATGAACTACCCACTTTATTTTCATATATGGTCAGAATGTAATAACCAATGCCTGTAGAGTGTCCTGACAGAGGTAACACAAACAGTAATGTTTTAATCTATGCATTAATTGGATTATAGGTTGGTGAGAATGAACGATTTGTTTTGCTAAAGAATCTCCTTTACAGCACAGCTGAGCTACAACTCCTGCCCAGCAGTCTGTAAAGGACATCCTACCTGATTCCAGGGGCAAGGTACCATCGGAGAGTGAACCACAAATCCCACTGCAGGAGCGAGAAGTGTTAGCACGAAAAGGCTGCAGCAGCCAATTTAAAATTTATTTGGACTGCTGTAAGAGAAATGGGATATCAGAGGTTGTTTTATAATGGCTAACTGGCCCTGAGGGACAGATTTGCAAAGGAGACAATTCCATCAGTGCAGGAGCCTGAGCTCTTGAAAAGATAAAGTAACATTTTCTTCAGCTTTCTCTCACCTCTGCCTGATTTAACTGGTGCACTTTTCCCCCTCTTATATGGCTCACTGAAAAGCTGTAAATGAAGTTCCTGTGGTACAGGCTGCAGAAACAACTAGATGAGGTCAAATAATAACCAGAGAAAAATTAAAAAACAGGCCCCAAACCACTGGCTAAAGCAAATCTGGTGAGTTATCACAAGTGCCGAGATATGATCCTGAGTTTCCATACTTGGAAAAAATAAAACAAGCAAGAATTTCTTGTTTAGCAATAATTGCTGAAGTTTTTCCCTCCTGCGTGTCCAGCTCTTCCCACACAACCCTGCCATGAGTTTTAAATGCATGCCAAGTTTTGTTCTGGAAAAATTCACACTACCATAGACCACTGCTGATAAAACATCATGAAAACAACCAGCAATATTCCTCACCTAACCCTGGGCTCTCAGCTTTTCAGTTCAGCAGTTTGCTCTCCTGTAAGGCCATTTGCTGCAATAAAGGGTGAAGGCACCTTTGAAACCCTATGTACTCCTTTAAGGGAATCTGCAGGTTTTAATCAAAACCCAGGTTTTGCTCCTCACCCCTGTGTGCAGAAAGGGGAAGGCACACAGCTCTCCTCTGAGCATTTCTCTCTCTGCCTGTCACTTCTCAAACTCAGCCACGCTGCACAGGTGCACCTGCTAAAAGTCACAGGAAAAGAGAAACAGATGAACTAAAAAGCAGTGCCAATAAAACCATCACAAATAACTTCAATTTCCTGGTGTCATTTCTAGCACTAACACTAATTATATGCTTTCTAGATTTAGGTTTTTAGGAACGTGCATTTTGTCTGCTGTCTCCAGACAACTAAGAGAAAATGTGAAATAAAACTGGAAGGAAATTATTTATATTGCACCTCCAACACATTACCAGCCTGCAGCTGAGACTCCAACAAATTCAAGAAGTTACACTACAAAACCACCTGATTATTATGGGGTTTTGACTGGGTATTAGTGAGGTTTTTTTAAATTTCTGTGTTTCTCCCTCTGTTTTTCTTTTAAATGCTACATTAGAACATAGCTGGCAATTCAAGGTAATAATGCTGATGCACTAAACACCAATTCACTACTGTGTGGTGTCATATAAAGAATACTCTTGACCTCCTCAAAGAAAGTATTTTCAAGTGAAAGACTAATGAGTCAGGGGTGTGAATACAACCTTTCTAAAGCATTTTTATCAAAACTATAAAATACACAAATAATTCAGCAAAAATATTTTCAGGCAGAGTTGAAAGCATCACTTACCTCATTTTGAATTGGTCAAGTTGATGAATGAGGCACAATACTCAACACACAAGTCTAAACAGACTGAGTAGATATTTTTAATGAAGTTACAGACTTCTTTAGAATCAATCCTTTTGGACTTGCTTGGCAGCAGCCTGTCAGAGGCTCATTCAGGAGCTCACACTGCCCTTGCTTTATGCTGTGACCTGTAATTTTGGTTAGGCATCAGTCTCCACCACCTCAAGTGATATTCATGATACAAAGTGACCCAAAGTAGACTCGGTAACACAAGCTGTCAAACACATGGAGGAAAATGTAGCTTTGCAGATACACCCCCCCTAAATAATACTCAAAATGAGGCTAAGAAAACCAAGTTGACAGAATGTATTTCAAACACTGCATTTATTACAAAGGTGCATAGAGTTTATGCTATTTGGTTTGAATACTTATGTTTAACCTACAAACAACATACAAAGCAAGGTTACATGTAACCATGTATGTAACAAAAGCAACAATGATTATCTAGTAAATTCAATATTCTACTGTTTTTATTTTCACAAAACACTTCTGAAACAAAGGCACTTACAGAAGTTAAAAAAAATAAGATATATCAACATGTAAAGTCTTAGCTTCCTCCCCCCTCCCTACAGCACTGTGGAGAACAAGTGTGACGTGAAGGCAACAGATGCTGGGACTGACACATCAGCAGTGCTTAAACTGAAAACTTATGGATCATCTCCATCTTTTTTGTAACCATCCCATTCTCTTCAGTATTTGAAAATAAGCTTTAACAAGGCTGCAGGGCAAGAACCAAATAAAATTTGGTCCTGCACCTCACAGTTAATTATATTAATTGTGAACTGAACAATTTTCTTTCGGTAAGTTTCGTAACTGAATTAGTAATAGTACTGCTAAGGCAGCTCCTTGTATATTAATGATTGATCTCTTATTTTGTACATAGTTATCACTTGCACATGTCCACGAAAGGAAAGGTGTCCATTTTCAGGATCCTCAACCCTACCCCTAGCCCTCATCTCCCACCACCACACACAGAGCAGTGACAATTCAGGACCATCTGTTTGGTCTGTACAACTTCCACCCCAAAACCTCCTATTTGGGAATGTCTGTTATTACTGCCACCTTACTTTCCTCCCATCTCCTCAGGCATGATGATTGAGCCATCCTGCCATGAAACTGCAGATTTCCCTCTCACAACCCAAACATGACACTGTGACTGCCCTCCTTTTGTCACACCAGGTGGGGGACAGGAAGCAAGGGATTTATTTCTGCAATTACTCAGTGTCCTCCTACAGAAACATTCCAGGTTTCTAAGGCAACACTTCCTCCTCCATACAGGAGACACCATCCTTTTTTGGTTGTTCCCATGTAACAAGTGACAGTGTAATGAAGTTTTGCCCAGTTTCTCAGCTGAGAAGGCAGGAAGGAACACATGCAGGACACGTGTTCTGTGAGTGCCTCTTGGCACCATTACATGCTATCAACTGCAACACTCAGAGAGGTCTAACAGAGGGGCACAGGTGGTCATGAACTCCAACATAAAAACTTTCAACAAATTTCTTCTGAAATGCCCTGAAAACTTTCTTAAAAAAAGAACTGGAATAATCCAGAAATAGACTCAAAAAATCAGAAAGAGGAACAAGGCTGCCTTTGACAGCAGCAGTTTCCATCCACTCTGTGAGGTAAAAGAATGCCACCAAACAATAATATACCCCAAATGTAGAATCACAGGACAAATGGCTCAATGGCCTCTCTAAAAAAGTAAAATCAGTGTAAAAGATACGTTAAAATTATTTCACTGATTATGTCACAGTGATACATGCAAATAACTACATAGTTCTATGAGGATGACCAACAAATTGCATTTCAGTGTTGGAAAAGACAGAATTGTTGAGGACAGTGAAAAAAAACCTACCTTGTTCAAGCAATAAAAGATTCATAAAGCCTAAAGCCCCAGCAGTGTTAACAGTCCTGAGGATGTCTCAAGATGTTTCATGACTGAAAGCATTACCTTCTCAAAAATACATTACCTGGCTGTGACCAAATCCTTCCTTTTCCTGACTTCTCATTCTCTGCTCAGCTTTATGGGAATGTTGAAGACAAAAGGGAGGTTTAAAGTCCTCACCTAGCCCCTCACCTAGCATATTGTTACTCCAAAGCAGACTGGATTTATAAAGGTCTGTAATTCTTGGGCTCCTGCCACCTACAGTTCCCACAAGAGACAGTGGAAAAACCCTGAGCATTTGAAAACCCCAATCTTCTGCTGACATCCCATCTCTCCTGTAAAATAAATTCCTTCTCTGTGATGAGGCAGGACTGAATGCTAAGGTACCTTTGCTTAACGAGCGATTAAGGGGCTGATTTTAATTCCAAACTCATTAGCAACAGGTGGCTGTAAGCTTGTCCAATACTACCTAAACATGAAAAACTCACCCAATAATTTTTATGAAGAATTTTCAGGATTTCAGCTTTTGATCTATTTGGTCCATTAAGTGGCAGAGAGTCTGTTAATTTCTAGTGATAACACCCAATGGAGTTATAACACCTTAAAACTGGAACAGAAAACAAGGAAATAACGTGCTATTTAGAACTAGCTCAAAGACAAACATGGCTTACTACCCCTTACCAAAGGTAAATGTGTTGCAAAAAAGGAAAATTCCCTTTTGAATGGTAAATCAAATGATATTAAATGATAGCTTACCTAACAATAGTAGCTTCAAAACAGTTAGAACTTACATAACATGCATCAGGTAGTTTCTTAGAGGTTTTTACATTTTAATACTGTGCAAAAGATTGCTACAGCTTTGGGTATTTGACAATGCTCATTTTAGACCATTCCTCTCAAAATTATTGCACAGCAAATGGTATTGTGGTTCTGTATTTCTGAAATACTCCTTCACTTCTCTCATTGTATCTAGAACAAAATCTCTTTTTGTATTTGCTTGAGGTATAAATTAACTTCTGCAAGAAAAATACTCCTTCCTTGGAGCATTAAAATAAAGAAGATACCGAACTGATTTTCACTCTACTTAGACAAAAGATTGTTGTCTTCCAGAAAAATATAGTACAGGTGGCATGTTGTAAACAGAACAAATTATATTCTGAAAAGTTTTGTATGCAGAAGCACAGTAGAAGAGCTTTTCAATGGGTGGGCTTCTGAGGATCCACATAAGCAGGGTTGTAAGGGGGCTGGGTGGGGTAAGGGGCTCCAGCACCAGCTGCAAAAGCAAAACACAAGAAAAAACAGGTTTGTAAAATGTACATTCTGAATTCTACATATAAAATGGCAATTTCTGTTTTGAGACCACAGTTCAGAGGTTCAAGTTATCCAGTAACTTAACTGAACTTGAAAACAGCTTGTGCTCACTCACAAAACATCTGCATTTCAGAAGATCACAAAAACCTTTGTTCTCGTTGGCTTTGGGGCTTTTTTGATGCTGAGTGTGCATGAGTAGCCTTCAGGGGAGAATCTAGTCTAAAAAAAAGGAACAATCTGGCTCAAAAACAGAGCCAGTGGAAGTCAGGGGTGCACATACAAAAGGATATACCTGATAGTGTGCTGAGAAAAAAACATTTGGCCAAAAGCAAAAGGACTAGAGAAATCATCTTAGGATTCCTTCAGGGAAAATGCTTTCCTGTTAAGTATCAAAAAATTAACTAAGGAAATAAAAGGGAAAACATTCCCTTTTTTTTTAAAGTGCCCACTACTGAGCACATGAAAGAGTTTGACTTATATACCAGATGTGTATCCCTTGGAAGAGATCCTTGTATTCTACTGTTCTGAGAAAAGCTGCTCTCAAGTGGCATCTTCATTTTCAGCTCTGTCAAGCAGCACAAGTTTGTTCAAGTAGCACCTGATCAGATCCCTGGAAAGTGCAAGTGTGGTTATCTTAGGCTGATCTTGTAAAGTGAGTGGGTTTGGCTCCTGTGTGGCAGAGCAGGTATTCTCCCCTGGCATGTGAGCTAATTAACAGCCTACTCCTTGATTAACAGGCAGGAGAAATGTAGGAAAGAACTCTCACTGTGAGGTATTTTCAGCTGCCAACATGGAAAGTGCTTTGGTATGTTCCCAGAAAAAAAAAAAAAATTAAAAATCAAACACCAAAACAACTTTAAAAACTAACGAACCAGCAAAAGCCTGAGAAACCAGAGAGTAAAAGTGAAATGACTAATTCATTGGCTCCCTCACATGAAAAAGATGAAGCCAAAGCACTTTGGCATAATCCTATAAAACCCACAGCTTCTCTGGCATTTATAACAGAAAAATAGTGTCAACAGCCCTGCCAAGTGCTTTCACATGTGGGATTGGTTTGCACATTATTAATGTTTACTATTAACAACTTCTGTTTGCAAATCTTTCACACCATGAAAAGCCATTTTATGTTATAAACATATTTGAGTTGTCCTGGAAGTTACTTTCTAAGTGTTATCTACTTACTTACATTATTACATATTACATTTTTACTTATTTACTAGTCATAACTATACTTTTTTACTTATACAGATGAGCAGTCAGGCTTGTAAGAGGGCTTTAAGACCCTACAGGTAACAGCCTAGTTTTGGCCCCTCTGTGCAGTCTGGAGCCAATTGTTCAGAGAACAGCTGCTACCAGCAGAAGTGGGAATTGGTCATTGCAACAATAAGGCTGCATGAAAACAATATTGTGAAAGAAGGAAAGCTGAAGAAAAAAGATTCTGATAATTCAAACTGCAAATTGTCAACAGACTTCTTCCAATCCCTTTGTCATGGGCAGGGACACCTTCCCTGAGACCAGATTGTTCAGAGCTCCATCCAAACTGGCCTTGGACACTTCTAGAGATGTGTCCATAGCTTCTCTGGCCAGCTTGTCCCAGGGTCTCACAAACCTCACAGTAAACAATTTTTTCCTAATAATTAATCGAAAACTTGCTGTCTTTTAGTTTGAATCCATTCCCCCTTGTCCTGTCACTACATGTTCTTATAGAATAGAGCTAGCAAATATTAGATTAGAAAGGGAATGTGGGAACATCCAACTCATGTATACATATATATGTATGTATGCATGTTAATTTGCTTTGATTATAATATTAAATGCCAGCTGAGTTAGTAAAATGTTCTACTGGATCTGCTGACAGTCCCACACATTGCCAAACTTTGCCAGTACAGCTCCAGCTCACACCTCCTCTGGCAATGCTTAGCACAGAAACAGTGACAGGGAAATTTCCACCAGGGTGAAATAACAGCATCCACCATAACTTGACTTCTACATAATTTTTTTACATTTGTATTAACATAGCCATAGAAAATAATAAATATAAATAACACAGGATTTTCTCCAGAGCAACTGTCTCTTCAACTGTTTAGGAGATGAAGAAGCACTTGGTGCTGCCTTACCTGCCACAGTTTCATGATAAGCTGGGGGTCCTGCTGGCTGCATGGGGTAAGGAGGAGGGTACTGTGCAGGGTATGGAGCCACTGGCATCCCCGGCTGGGGCTGGATAGCCACGGGCTGGTAGCCTTGATATGGAGCTGCAGGGTAGTTGGGTGGCACTGCTGGTTGTTGGGGATAGGCAGAGTGAACCACCGCCGTGGTGGCAGTGGTGGTCACCACAGCTACAGGCAAGGAAAAGGAACATGGTTAGTGCTGGTGGTCCCTAAACAAAAACCTCAAGCAATTCCCAGACCCCACATATGGTGGGAGGAGAGAGAACTTCTAAATGCTCAGAAAATATTCCAAAACATCTTTCTGCAGCTTCACATTCTGAAGCGGCTTAAATATTTCTTTTTAATATTTAGGTATTGCAACTTCCAAGCAGAGTATTTCACCTCTTATAGGAATACAATTTTCCAGGAGGGATTAAAAAAAATAAAAATATCCTATTCAAAGATGTGAAACAGAAAATAGCTACTTACGCCGTGGTCTTCGACACGCTTTGTACAGACAGCAACAGGAACATGTGAGGCACAGAATAATAGTAATGACAATCACTGCAAAAACAGTAACTCCAATGGCAATAAGGGTTCCAAAACTGCAAGAGAGAAACCACCAGAACTGGTAAGAGTCACTCCTTAACCAAACCTGCAGCAAACACATTGCTCCACCTCCAGTTTCTCAGTACTTATTGGACTAAAAGAACTGTGCAAGGCAATGCTGCAGGAGGTCAGGTCTGCTAAGCCAGGGGAAGCTGAACCACCCCTGACAAGGGGACTTTGGTCCCTCTCATTTTAGTCTGACTGCAGTTGTTGTTTTAGTGAACACACAGGTTCAGAGCATGCCCACAATGAAGAATCCCAGCTTTTGGGGTGACAGCAAGTTCTTCTCACACTCCCTAAGACCTCTCAGTCCCAAACTGAAGACAACCTCTGTGCTGAACAGATTCTTGGCAGGTTCCTTGGCATCTCTAAACAGGTATTTTAGAATCCATGTTTCACACAGTTAGGATGAATTGAAATTCTGACTTTACTGCAACAGCAAGTATGCCAGGCTACGTTATGGGATACAGAAACACTCCATAAAACTCCCAAATTTATTAGGGGAAGACCAGAGATTACAACAGCTTTGACTTCTGTGATGAGCACCAAATGGTGGAGGCAGATAAAACCAGTTACCTCAGGTATCACACCTAAGCCAATGACAATTCCCTTTAAAGTGCTAAATGAAATTATGTGTTTCCCACCATCTGAAACCAATAAAGCCCATCTTCCAGGGAAGCCAAAGTCTCCAGCACTCTTATTTCTTAAAAAGCACACCGTGCATCAGTTTTGGGAACAATTGCAGGAAGTCAGTTTTAACGAACAACCAGCTCTAAAATAATACCAAAGACCCACCAAATGTGAAAAATGCATTTGTGTATCAGTGACACTGGAAGGTTAAATCACTGACAAAAAGAATTGGAAAATGCTTTACCCCTAGTCCAAATTTAAAAGACCTCACCTCAGTGTCTTCTAGAGCTACTGAACCTTTAGTAATCTGAGCACTGACTGAACACAAGCACTGACAAATAAAAGAGGCTCAATTTAAAATGCATTATTTCCCCTTAAGAGAGGCTGCATCAATTTGATTCTGTTTCTCCAAAAACTAGAAGAAAAAGCTTGAGTCAAATCTCTTTCAAAAACAAAGATTTTATGAACATGTAACTGTATCTGACTTGAGCACTGATTTTGTGAAGCACTAAAGAGAGCACTATGGATATAACCATGAAGTATTGAATGGGATAATGTGGACTGCCCACGTGCACTGCAACTGAGCAACATGTAAAACAGGAAGCAGGAACTGCTGCAGCCTCCTGAAGTCACAGGAACCACGTCAGAAACACTGCCAGGAAAATAAATGGATTACTGCAACAAAACCACAAGATGTGAAGGTGAAAATAATGTGTTGAGGAACACATGCATATTATGCCACATTAATTTGCACCCTTACAGAATATTTTTGAGATGCTGACCTAAACATGCACTCCTAAACCCTTTTTTTTTTCTAGTGAACTATGCTAAGGAAAGGAAAGAAATTCTTGTGTCAAGGAAAGATATTAGGACTGACAAAGGCAACTACAATTCTTCACTTGTACAGACAATGTACTTAGAACTTTAGCAAAGGCTGGGCAGAATCAAAGATACCAAAAAAATGAGATGATATGGAGAAATATTTACTCATTGTAAATTACTGATCACAGCAGGAAACTGGTACAGTTCCCTTATCTTTCTCGACTAAATTAATTTCTGACATGAGGAGCACAAGCCCATCTGCAGCCAAGCCATCAGCAGATAAAAACCCTGACCATGGGCTCCACTTGTTTAGTTTTAATAAAGTTTTCTGCTCAATGAAGCAGATGTCTCATATTTGCTACCTCTAATAAGGAACACAACAAAAGCAAAGCTAAAAAACCAACGCACCATGTTCTCACTTTCACCAAGTTGTTAGAGATACCCTGTGCACTTGGATCACTTGTGTCTTTGGCGAAATGACACAAGGACATTTTGCACCCATCTTTTGAAGAGTTAAATGAAGACACATGTTTGAAGTGCAAGTGTGGTAGATGTACGCATTAGAGCTCTGTGTTTGTGTGTGATCCAGTCCTACCCACTGAAACACTGTCTGATTGCTGCAGACCAAATTTATAAGCTTTCAGAGACAACCCAGCAAGTAAAATAACAGAGAGGAGTTAGCTCTTCTCACAGTTCTTTAAGGAGTTTAAAAACTGATTACTGGCAGGCATTTTTATCACCTACTTCACAGCAGATAATTTCCCTGCCAGTGCTTGGGCTCATGTAGGCTAATGTCTTGGAACAGCACAAAGTAGGGAGACATTTACAGAAAAAACAGTAAGTGCTGTGAACTTACAATTCACATCATCAACAGTCTCTTTCAACACTGGAGTCCTTCAAAAAGAAATTTTTTTTCTAACTATTTTTACTGACAACCAAAACTAGCAATACTCTTTTGGAATTTCTTCATGGTCAATCACTACCTTACTGTAATGATGTCTTTTTACTGCCCAAGGAGCACTGGCCTGAGCACTTCTTGAGCATTTAAGTGATATCCCACTACTGAAAAAGGTGCAGGGAGGCTTCCTATAATGGATGATAGTCAAGTGAAGCCAGAATGGTGCTCAACATACTTTACTCAGCGAACCTTCTAACCTTCAGGAGACAAGACATTCCAGGCACTCCATGAAGACTCTTGCAGTGTGCTAACTCCCTTCTTAGACAAGAATTGCTTCATTTGATTACTTTCACCTGATTAATCTGCCTAAAGAGCTCTAAAATAGTTGAAAAAAAAACATAGTCACATTAAATGGCAATTTAATTACCGCTAGCATTGTACACAAATGAAAAAGAACAAATGTGAGGGATTGTTGTTTACAGATTCTTCCCCTGAATGGTTAACAATGAGAAAACAAAAGCCAACCAAAACCGAAAGCACACCTGACCCCTTCATTCTGCAAACAGTTTTCATCAAACTCTGTCAGAGTGAAGAAATCAGGGTGGCCACAGCACCAGTTCAGAGTGCTCTGCTGGCGTCAGTCACAATTCAGGTTTCCAGACTCCCACATTATATATACCATAGTCTAAATAAAGCACACACACTTAAAAACAGCTTGAGCTCATTCACTGACATTTCCTGCTTCTTCACAGAAAAGTGAACTTTTGCCAATGATTTCATAAAAAAAAAAATTAAACCTAACAGCAGTTTTACTGCAGCAATGACAAATTGTAGCTTCTCATAAAACATACAGGAAAGCAAATATTTATTAAAAATGGAGAGGTAATATCCTGCCCTTTCCTACCACCACCTCCCCCGCCTTGCCCTACACCCTCCACTTCTGCCCCTATCCTCTCACCTCTGGAAAGCACTGAAGTGTATGTGTAATGAGAATATCTCACAGATTCACCTTTAATTATATTCAATTAAAAATCAAGCTAATTATTCAAAATAATTATCAGCTCACATAAAGGGAGTTACTTGCCTAGTTTACCCCCTTCAGGACTGAATGAGATACAATGGGCATATTAAGATGTGAGAACCAAGCCCAGGATCTAAATAATACTATTTGTAGAAGTTAATTCTCAAGGCAGTTGTTCATATTGGAGATCTCGAGTAGAAAAAAAATGTAGACTTTATTTAAAGCATTTTCAAATATCAAAGTTTCGATTCCAGCAATGTATTTTTAAATCTTCTTAATAGTTTGAATCACTTAAGTCAGTGACATTTTATAAGCTGATACCAATGAAGTTTTCACATATGTATGCCTTCATGTGCCTAGGACATGCTAAAAATTTTGTCTTAAAACAGAAAGAAATATCCAAATGAACAATGAGACCACCTAGTTATGAAAAATTAGTTTCAAAAGCCATTTTATTGTGCAAGTTTTAATCTGTTCCAAGATTTGTTCCATGCTTTGAGAAACACACTGGTGAGGTTCTTTTCAAAAGCACTGCTGCGTTTAAAAACATTAACAAATAGCGAGTTATGGCTGTAACATGGGGTGGTCTGGAAATACTTCAAAAGATAATTTAGGCCATTCCTAAAAGTAAAATAAAAAATTGAGTATATACATGTCATTCCTTACAGCTCCAGAAAAGGATCCAGTTCCCAGAAATGTGATGGAATGGTAAATATCCACGTTTCCCTGGCTCAGGTGTAGGGCATGACCAAACAAGTCCCCAGAGAGAGATGCTTAAGTAACATTTTAGTCACAGCCACGTAATGCCACATATTGCCTCTAAAGTCTAGCAGGAAAAATAATAAATTATTTTTTAAAAAAAGCAGTATCAATTCCCAAGGGCCTTTCAGAGGGATTCGTTTTTACAACTTTACTAACAACACACTTCCTCAGTTTAATGTTTTAGCATAAAAATTCAAAACATAAGAACCACTTTCCTAAAGATTAAACAACAATAATTTACTATTATTCAGAAAGAAAACTCACAGGAAAACATCAGTCTGATATTAACACAGGCAAGAGTGACCAGCCTGTTTTAGCACAGCCGGGCGCTTCAGCACAAGCAGACAATCAAAATATACACCAAGTTAAGGCTCTTTGTCCAGGTGCAATCACAGTAATTGCTGGTGCAGCCTTGGCCACCTCCCCAAAACAGGATCTCTACATGATCAGGAAGATTCCAAGTGATTTTTGTGGTAGGCAACAGGCAGCCCAAGACTCAGACTGAGCAGCATGGTTTCAATTTTATAAAATCTTGGTTGTTTCATCAAAGGTTTGGCAGGTTTGAGTAACTGCAGTCATCTTACAAGCTCTGCAGTGCAGTAAAGTGTGGATTGGAATTGTGATGTCTGGTGTTTCAGACTAACATTAGCTCAATTAGCACTTCAGAGTGTCTCTCCTGGGGTTCTGCCCACATACAGTCCCTTAAAGCCATTTAAAGGGTTTCGCTTTATTTTGACTAACCCCTCTGAGCAGCACCTGCTCAAGCCATCACTAACTGCAACTTGCTCTAGCAGGGAGACAGATTAAATGAAAACCCCTAAAACTCAGCACTACTTTCCATAATTCCTCCTGGGTACTTGGAA